TGATTTAAAACTTAATTCAAGTTGAGGTCACTTAATGAAATTGGCTTGAAGACTACATTTTTTTTGTCACCTTGAGTTCAGGATATCATATCCTCCCATATCTTAACAGATAATTTCAGACAATTAAGACAGGTAATAAAAAATACTTTTGCTTGCAGAGGAAAAGCTAATTCCCTTGTTGGTTGAACAAAACTTTATTAGAAGCTGTCATAACTCAAAAAGTTTGAAACAAATTGTTAATTTTTTGTTGAGCCTCAACTTTATTTTCTTTAGATAATAGAACAGAAAAGTCAAGACAAAAATCAGCTTCAGTGAAGTTTAATAAAGGCCCATAGTGACTACGAGGACTTGCTGTCTGGCTGCTCGAGGTGATGTGCTACATGTATAGTTATTCCTACATACAGTACATTACAACAACGTGGGGACAGACGTGCAGCCTACAGCAGGGTCATGCTGGTGAGGCAGCAGACATTCCTGTCATAACACGGGCTCCAATCCAGAGATCTTCTCCATCCTTTTACCCAGATTATCATTCTGTCTCAGCTAAGCACCCACAGGGAGAAGCTGAACCCCCTCCTCGACCTCACCCACTGAAGGTAGAGGTTTAAGAGGTTTACCATCAATCATCTGCGGTAATGGACACCTTTACCACACAAACGATATGGTTATTCTCATCCTAGCGCCACATTTCAAGCGTTTTATGGCTTTTTGTGCAATTTTCATCTTAGAGGTGCGCTTAAACGTTGTAAATACTCCTAGTAAATGGCAAAGTAGGGTCAATTTGATCTAAGTAATGGAGCTATGTTCTTTCAACATGTTTTTAGCTTGGATCAGCCAAAAGGCATCCCATGATTAACAACTGCTGGAGGTCTTTAGTTTGCTTTCCAAAGTCACAACCTACTTTGTTTTTTGAGAGCAGCATGATATTAGTGTTTTGCTATACATGCCATAATGAAAAAATGTCTTTGATCTGTCTTAGAGATGAATCTCATTCTCTTATTCATAATACTCTGATAATGTGTCAAACAAATCTCTGTCATGTTTCCATGCTGCATACAAGTACTCTAAAGCGCTCAAATGTTGACTAAAGTGCACTGCTTTGGGAATTACAATACAATACTGACAAGAATCAAGCACTACAATCAACTTCAAATAGTAAAATATAAAAAATAGCAAGCAAAATGTTTTCCCTGTACTGATGCATGTGTGTCTACAGTATGAGTTAGATGCTTAAAAAAATACCCAACAATGAAGTTTAAAGCTACACTACATTTTTTTTGTGTGTGTGTTTCAGCTCTCCATCAATAGTTTGAGCGATGACACAAGTTACAGCAAGCAAAATAAATGTAAAGACTTTAGTTTCTTGTTTAAATTTCCAACAGCACTTTAAATGAGACATGAAATGAAGCCAGTTTTATTGCTACCAGACAAACATTGAAACTTTTTATTCAGTATTATAAATACAAAGGGATACGGTAAAGTAATGTTAGCTGCAGTCTGTTACATCACATGTAAAACACACATACAGTCCTGTCATCGGTAATATCAGTCGTTTCTGCCTCTATGGCCACTGGTTTGCCTTTGCAGCTATGGTTTATCAGGCACACAAAAGAAAAACTCACACCTGTGCTTAGTACAATGTTCAAAAGAATTACAGCTTCCTCCCTCACTGTTAATAACACTGTATGTTTTTTCCTGCTTTTATTCGTGCCATGCAGCAGATGACATGACACGGGTACATTTTAGGCCTCTGTGGGACTTCCGTTCCCCTCCTACACCACTAAAACATAAAAATGGGACACGTCCGCCTGCCTGCCTGTTTTTTTTTGTTTTTTATGAAGGTGAAACTCCCACAGGTCCCCTGGTTCTGTGTCCACTCTTGCTGTTAAATTAGGATTGTGCTCAGTCATCTGTTACTTCTCTCCTGTGCAATAAGCGAATGTGTCAAAAGGTGATGAAAAATATAGAGTATAAACTTCCAGAAATGTCTGAATGGAGAGAGCTGGCAGAGGACATTAATGCCAAATGGATGATATCATATGGAGAGTTGCATTTCGGAGCCAATATTTACGTAACACAGACCTGTTCTCAGTTTTGTTTTTGTCATTACAGATTAAAACGCGTGATGAAATGTGAATGGGGGCGATGTTATGGCTAGGATGGAGCAGAAAGATAGCAGTGATAAACGTCATAAAAATGGAAGAGCAAGAAAACCGGCGGCAGTGGGTGTTTAGAGCCCTGCATTTAATGCTTAGCCTGTGGGCAAGGCACCTTCCCTCCTCGCCTGGAGCATGTCTGGCTTTTTGTCTGGCTTTTACAGCAGAGTAGACAGATTACTTGCAAAGGTTGAGACGGTTCAGTGAGCTGAAGGTACTAGGTGACATGGCAGCATGAGAGGGGAGGGAGCCATATCCTTTTACAGTCTGGAAATAAAGCTGGGCAGCAGCCCCGTGTCTGTCATCTTATTGGGCCATTAGATGACGAGACCAGAGCAGCACCACTGGCTGCGGAGGTCCAGCACAAGAATGTAGCTGGCTGGGAGGTAATTTAACTCAAGGAGTATCATTTCATGCCAATATTCCATGTGTTATTGAACTAATCCCCCTGTATTATAATGTTTGGCCTTACATTTAGTCACTGAGCCTTTGTCTGTGGTGCATTGACAAGCCGGTTGTTTAAATATACAACAAATCTGATATAATTACCGGTTGGAGAAGTTAGAGCCACTGTTTTTTAAGGACAACAGTGTTTTCTCCTCAAGGAATGATTTGATATTTTGGGAAACATCTGTATTTGCTTTCTTACCAGGAGTTAGATGAGAAGATTTATACCACTCTCATGTCTGTAAGGTACGCTCTGAGCTGCAACCTTTGGGAGAAGAAAGACTGGAGACAACCAGCCTGCAACAAAATCCACCAACAAGCATTTCTAAACCTCACTGAATTACTTCTTATATGATGTGTTTTTTTTTTTAACTTAAAAAAAGAGTAAAAATTAGAAGGTGTGTTTCACAGTGGGTTTGATACAAGACTGTTTCTCGACCTGAGCTGTGGGAGTCTCTGAAGGTTGCCTGAACCTGGAGATGACTCCACAAGCCCTTCACTTTGACACTTTGTGACAAACCAACAATATAAAGCATTAATTAGTAAGCTTTAGAGCTTTTTCGTTTTTATCTTAGCTATGCCAACGCTGACTTTATAGACGTATGAGTGGTAGCAGTCCTCTTATCTGAGTCTCTGGAAACAAGCAAGCACGCATGTTTTCCAAAATGTCAAACTGTTCCTTTAATGACATGGTTGAGTAGAAGTTGTGCAACAGAGAAAAACAACAAATGGCCGCAGTTAAAGAGAGTCAAGGAATTTGCTTGTAATGTACGTCGCTTTCATCCTGCCAGGGGAATACACCACAGACTGGCCAAGATTAGACATCCTTCCTGCAGCATTTTTCATGGTGACTCCTGGGATTTGAGGATTGAAAAACATGCAAGTGATGTGCAAAGAGAAGAGCTCAAGGTGCATCACCCCTCGCCCCGGTGGATCATCTGGAGACAACCGAAATAGCCCATGCAAATCTAAAAACACACAGACGCGAACCCTGTCCCTTTTAAACTGAGGAGGAGGCCGTCCCTGTGACGAGAGTCGCAGTATTCCAGGAATGTCCTGATCCGTCAGGGCCGGGATGCCTAAGGGAAGAGACTGAGAATCCTCACGACCCCCCCTCCTCCTCCTTTAACATATACATGCACGCATAGACCAGGATGATTCATGTGACAGGTCATTTTCCCCGAGAACAGATTACTCCTGACCTCATGTATTCACAGGTCTGATGTATAATCTGTTCCCTTTTTCATCTTCACTCATCAGTCTGTCCAGTCTGTGACTTTCTGCTCCTCTTTTTTTCATTCTGTCCACACTTAAAAGCTTTCACACAGTATCAATTAAGTATGATAAATCTGCTCCTGCCTGTGGTGCACTTTTTCTTTCTTGAAAGTATCTTTTGGCTCAGAGAGGTGATGTAGCTCTTAAAGTAAAAAAAAACAAAACAAAAAGCAACACATGCAACCGAATGATTCTTGAGGTCAAGGGTTGTGCGACCCCTCAGGTCCAGGGCTGTTGTGTGTCTGACAAGGCAGGTAAAGTGTAGCTAATGAATGGCACTTAGGAGTGAGTGGTGATATGTGGCAGGAATGTAACACCACAGTGGTATGCTGAAATGATCTGAATGTCTCAGTTATTGTTTTGTGTCGTGCTTATTGGGGAACTGAATCCTGCTTTAAGATAGAATACGCATTTATTGGTTTTAGGCTAAAATTGTCTTCACTTAAGGTGGATGATTGTTCTTGAATCAAAGTTATACATGTAAGCATGATGATAAATATATAATCATCCTCTTTGTAAAAAACTTTTTATATTTTAAAGCACACTTGAGACCAAACAGCCTTCCAGAAATGGTTTTGAAAAGTCCTGATTTTAGGAGTTGATGGGAGTGGTCTGGGAAAAGACCAGAAGAGGGCGGTGCTAATCTCCTCATATTCCCAAATGTCAATGAAACTCTTCAAAGCAAACTTGAATCTGGAGGTGTGTGGGATGGAATCATTTAAGGATAATGACCGCAGAGCTCACAGATGATACAACTTCAGTCTAACGAGGCATTTCTGCAATACAACAGAGATAAGCTCAGTGTTTCCAAATGTCTGCGTCCTGTAAATGGTCGTTTTATATGTGAAGGAGTATGTAATAAGTGGATATCCGTAGGTCTACCTGTTTAATGCGCGTTTTTCCTCTACGATATTTGGATTTCTGCAGAGTTTCTGCTCCTTCAGGATGAGACTGTGGACTTTACTTGTCATTATCCCGGTGTGCGCATCCTCTCCTCCTCCAGTCGGTGAGTTGAACCTGTTTAAACCTGACACTTACAGAGCATGTGAATGAATGGAACCAGATTTGTGCGCGCAAATTTCAAGACCACCTTTTGCAGTGGCTTGATAGACCGACATATGTCCACTCAGCTCACTTTTACTCAGATTAGACTGTAAACGCACCTTTTCTCTCACCAGAAGCGTCTAAAGTCAGAGATCCAGCTGTGGAGCGCCGCTGCTCTGGCCGAGCGTGCAACCCGCGCATGGGCAACTTGGCCCAGGGCAGAGTGCTGAGCACCCGGTCGGTCTGCGGCTTCAACTCCTCGGAGCCCTTCTGCTTCTACAAACAGTCTGCAGCCCCCCGCAGCAGGGAGTCCTGCCCGGCGGCACAATGCAGCCGGTGCAACTCCGCCGTCCCCAGCCAGGCGCACCCTCCCTCCGCCATGAGCGACTCCTCCTTCCGCTACCCTGACACCTGGTGGCAGTCGGCGGAGGGGGTGAAGGTGGAGACGCTCCAGCTGGACCTGGAGACGGAATTTCTCTTCACCCATCTAATCCTGGTGTTCCGCTCCCCCCGCCCTGCTGCCATGGTGCTGGAGCGCTCCCAGGACCGGGGGCGCACATGGAAGACCCTCAGATATTTTGCCCGGCGCTGCGAGGAGGTTTTCGGGGAGGCAGAGGGGTCACCGGTGGGGGAGAGTGGGGCCACCTGTACCTCCAAGTATTCAGGAGCTTTTCCCTGTACCAGAGGAGAGGTGGGTGTCTGTGTGGGTCAGTTTAACTCTGAAACTGGAAGACATGAACACTGTGCCTGGTAAATGTCACCCAGATATATTGAGCAATGGGTGTATAAGGTTTGAAACACTGCTACCACCTGGAAAAAGTTTGTTTTCATTTTAAACATATTAAGCATTCAGATCCACATTAAAGTCTGGCATCATTTAAGAGTTGAAACCGGTTTGATAAAACCAATTCAGTTCAGTCAGCTTTGTGAGCATTTCTGTCTACATTTATCGACTCACCATGTTTAAACTGCTGACTCTGAAAACTGTGAAAGCTATTTGTACTTAAATCAACATCTTGACATTCAGTGTAATGAATTGAGATGGACTTCTTTGCTTTACATCACAACAAAACTCTTCACTAACAATCTGGTTAGAGGGTCACCAGAGATGTAGCTCAGAGGAAGATCTGAACACAGTTTCCATGTTGGATAATGATTTCATTTCAGAAATTTGAAATTGACCACATCAGAACCCACTGCCAGACATTTTCCTCCCATCACTTCACAGCAACGGCACCCACCATCTGTCTCAGTCTTGTCGTCCATTTATTGGCACCAGGATGCCCCATAAGCTGATATCACACAAAACCACAGAGCAAACAGTTGACCAAGCTTTGTAAACTAATCCCCTCCGATGAGCGGTGTCTTCTAAGCCTCAAACTGCTTTGACATGCACAACTAAAATATCAGTGTTCGCTTTTATCTTTGATGTTCTCCCAAAGCATTTTCTGGACACGCTGTGTCATCACAGGGACGTCTGAGCCAGATAAACCAGCGATGGTTAATTCATGAGCAGGTCATTCATTCAAACAGATGGCTGCAGATAGAGGGACTCTCACCGGCTGCTAAAGATTTGTTTTTGCTCTAAAGGGCCGGAGACCATTTTGGGACATTCTGGTTGAACGACTGAATGAATATACAGCTGATGTATTTGCAACAAGTATGAATCTTTTCTTTGTAGAGTAAGTTGCTAAATATCACATAATACATTTAGGTTCAGCTTTCTTTTTGTAGTAAAGAAATTATGTGGTCATCATAAATCGACTTTTTCTGAGACAAGATTGGATTCATTGGATCATTCATGGATTGGATCATTCATATACAGATCGGGTTCTCTGTATGAATGAATGATATCTGTATTGTACTCACTGACCACTTGGTGCCGCATCACATGCTGATTCAATAACAAGTCTCTGATGCACAGCACACATTTAAGACACAGATATGTACAGGAGGATCACACAGCATATGAAAGCGTTACAAAAACTAATTAAATGACTCCTTTCTGTTGGCTATTTGAGGGAGTGACTTGTGCAAACCTGGAAAAAGTACTAAATACAGCTGCTTTTTATTTAAAAAAAATGAAATTTGTGAGATATCACTTAGACAGATCACATTAATACTAATAAGGTTCTTGTGGACATACAGAAAATGCAAAATGCTTCAATTCCTTCAAGGAAATATGTTTGAAAATACAATAGTTTAGTATGTGTCTGGAGTCATTTATGCTGATTGCTAATAGCCTTGCACCTCTATGTGCACATAATGTACACGCAGGGAGTGGGATCTGGATCATTTCTGATTTTACAATCAAAATGCAGAGCGAGAGGATATATATATATATATGAAAGATCAATATTCAACAAAGTGTAACCAGACAGTAGCAGACCTGTAGATTGCTCAAGAACAGCAATCAGTGGAGCATGAAAGGAAAACCAGATTGATGCCTGTTTTTTATTTGGAAGGCCAAAAAACAAGAGGTACAATTTATGTTCTCGTCACGGTCTGTCAGATCCGTTTTTACACTTGTTAGAGAGGCTTTCACAAGTGAAACAAGAGATTTTCACGTGTCCTGTCCTTCGATTTCCAGGTGATCTATCGCGCTCTGTCGCCCTGGCACTCAGTGGATCCCTACGGGCCGGACGCTCAGGACCAGCTCATGATCACCAACCTGAGAGTCCGTCTGCTGCGGAGCCAGACGTGTCCCTGCCAGGCCAAACATCCTGGTGCCGCCGTCCTCCCCACGGACCATTACGCCATCTATGATTTTATTGTCAAAGGCAGCTGCCTTTGCAACGGACATGCTGACCACTGTGTACCCACCAGAGGCTACCAGCACAGCCTACAGAGGAGCAGCAACATGGTGAGCAATTCTGAGCTGGGTTTTATGAACAGCTTGCAGGTACAACACAATGCCTTTTGCTCTGTTGTGAAAACTTACTCAGATGTTGTGTCAAGTCTTCTGATGCCTTCTGTTTGCTTTGTTGATGTGGTGGGACTGGGGGTAGAGGGTTTGGGGTTTTGTTCCCACCACTCCCTTGTTACTCAGCTGTGCGCTGGTATGTGCTGCTGAGGCTGAGGGTTGCAGTGAAGACTGGATATTAAGCCACAGCTTTACCTACCATTACAGGGATTTAAGGATGTGGAAACTTTAATTATGGTGTTCAGCCTAATACTTTAACAACCCATAGTCTCAGTCATGTTATTCTCTTTACTGTAAGGGGAGAATGGAAGCACTAGTTTATTTCCAACATAGACTGAGGGGTGTAGGTATGTTGCACAGGTAATTGTACAGCATGTAAACACCGTCATTGTGCATTTAGATGTCAGCATGTTGCAACACCACACAGGAGGGTAGTTACTGTATATGCACATCATATATCTGTGTGAATTAAAAAGTAATGTCTGCACACTAACTCCAAACCAGAGATGTATGAAATGAATAAAGTTTTGATGAACAATTTTGATTACCTATTAACTATATTATTGAAATACAATGAAAACTCAAAATTACATCAACCCTGGAGAGGGGCAAGTGCATTATGCAATATGCAGCATGTTGGAATACGTTTTTCACTGATTAATACTCCTTCATGTAAAACATTAAGTCAGTAATTAAGAAGATGCAAGAAAATATCAAATAACGATTCACTTTCTGTCCGTTGTGTTTGTCTGGCAGGTCAACGGCAAGTGTGTTTGCAGACATAACACAGCCGGCGACCACTGCGAGCGCTGTGCACCTCTCTACAATGACCAACCCTGGCAGGCGGCCAACGGCATCACAGGGACACCGCATGAATGCCAGAGTGAGTGATGGGGCAGGAGAGTCAAATGCAGAGTAGGACACACAGCATGTTGACTTATCTCCAAAATGAATTTAGTGCCATAAATCACGTGCAACCTTTTAGATGCTGATGCATGGTGAATAACAGAGCAGCTCCTTTCTTTTTTATGTCAGCTATTGTAAGAGTTGTCACTTCTATCAGCAGGGTTCAGGGTTCAAAGGTGAGCTGACCAAAGTGTAACTCCTCATTCCTTCTTTCATTATGCGTGTCCATCTGAACCTAAGAGTGCAAGTGTTACGGCCACGCCAAGAGCTGTCACTTCAGCCGAGGACTTTGGTTAGCAACGGGGCGGTGGAGCGGCAGCGTGTGTGACGACTGCCACCATAACACAGAAGGCCGGCATTGCCAGAACTGCAAGATGGGCTTCTACAGAGACCCCAACCGACCAAAAACTGCACCTGACTCCTGCAAACGTAAGACCCCTTTATACTGGAGTGTAGCTGTTTTTTGCCTTAAACCACAACTCTGTCTGGATGGACGCCAGCTGCGAATTCCAATTAAGGGGTGCAGCCTTTGAAATTTGGAGAGCAGTAATGGAGATTTGATTTTTAGTTTCACCCTCCGGATTAAAACATATTGATCTCTTTGATAAGGGTATTTGCCTCAGCACCTTTCTAAGTCCTGCCGGTGATGAGGCACTAAGAAGACTGCAGCCTGCTCCTTAGGAGGAATCTCTGTCATTCTTGCTTACTTATCTGCGTTACTGTTTTGGAATGTGACTGTAATTGCAAACAATGGAGGAATTTCTCATGGTCCAACTGAGCACATTTTTCCCATTCTTGCCCTTTCCCCCCCTCCAGGCATGCAGCAGCATTTTTAAGAACAAAAATGCCATTTTGGGAAACAGATGAAGCAAGTTTGTGACAAACTCAATCTGTCATCTCGCTGCCTCTCAGGGGGGAGCTCTTTGCTGTTTGTTTTAGCTGCTGCTGCTTAAACCATGTTGAGCACATACTCCCAGCTTGTCGTTTGTTACAAGTGGATGATAAAATACATTTAACTTTCATATTACCCTGGGAGTTCGCTATATATACTCTGTTTGTTTGTGCTTCTACAAGTGTGTTTGCCCTTTGGCTGAGAGCGTAATGCATCCTGAGTGCATCTAGATCTGTGCCAGAGATGGAGACATTAGAAAGATGTTAACATGCAGTCCTCTTGTTCTGTCACCTATCCTCCTCTGCAGCCTGTTCTTGCCACCCTGTGGGCTCAGCTCTCTCAGGTGGTAGCCCTCTCTGTAACCCCAGCAGTGGGGAGTGCACTTGTAAGCCTGGCGTTGGAGGCCCCCATTGTGACAGCTGCATGATGGGATACTGGGGGCTTCATGAATACGGCTGCCGTCCATGTGACTGCACAGGGGACTGCGACCCCTACACCGGCGACTGCATTTCTGGGTGAGAGCCAAGACTAAGACATATGTTTTAGCAAAAATAAACCTGGATAAAGTGATGCATGGTGTAGAGGTAGAGTGCTTCCTGGATTATTGCCGCCGAGCGGGGCCCTGCCTCTGACTGGTTTTTACCTCTGCGGCACAGCTCAGATGTGGAGGTCTCCTATACAGCCACCGGCCACATGGGACACAGCAGCAATAATAGTGAGATGGCACTCTTTAGGGTAGAGGAGCTTTTCTCTGCACTGCACCACTCTGGTGAGTCACAGGTCACATCACACTTAATGCAATGCACACTCATCAGCCTGCACAGATAGAAATGCAGTTGTTTTTGATCTTGAAATTTATATACCATGATGCAATTATTTCTCTTGCTGATGATGTTTCTTTCTTTCTTTTTTTTTTTCAGAGAAATGTGAATGTGTAGAAGTAACACTTGGCAGTCCAAAACTCTTCTGTGCTGCAGAGTTTGACTATGGCAAGTCAATTTTATTTATTTGAATCAGAATTTATTCAGAATTGTGTTAGCCAATCAGAACAGTGGGCTTATTCAAGAAAAATCTACCAGATCCTTTTATATTAAACCTTTTTAGTCACTAAGTCACAAGTTTTAGTCACTAATACGTCCTGTAATCCTATAGAATAGAATAGAATAGAACAGAACAGAACAGAACAGAACAGAACAGAATAGAATAGAATAGAACAGAACAGAACAGAACAGAACAGAATAGAATAGAATAGAATAGAATAGAATGCTTTTATTGTCATCATACACAAAGTACAATGAAATTAAAAGACAACTCCCATGGTGCAACATACAAGTATAAAAGATAAATAAGAATATATAAATGTTGCAGCTCATCTCAGTAGCACCTTTTTATTAGACCCTCCGTGTTGGGTAGCTTCCTGTGTCTTTCAAATTTAATTCCTCCAGTTTATGCTAGTTTCTGCAAATCTTTGTACCCACCCCGGGGAAAAAAACAAAATGACCTCACTCTGATTATTTTCAGAGACATGACAAATGTCTCTTCAGTGCCAGAGCAGACATTATGCATTATGAGTCTTTGTACTTTCTCCCTCTTTGTGTTTCTATTCAACCTTGGAAACACATTTTAAAAGCGGTCCATGCTGTAAAAGATTAGGCTGTTTCTCATACATCTACTTTGCTAATCAGTGTGTGTGTTGCCTCTGCAGTGCTGGTGGGGAAGGTGATGTCAGCTCATGATAAAGGCTCTCATGCAGAAGTGGAAGTCAAGGTCAAGAAGGTCTTATACCAGAATCCTCAGATGAAGATCCAGAGAGGGAGTGTTACTCTTTACCCAGAGTCCTGGACCATCCAAGGCTGTACCTGTCCCATCCTCAACCCAGGTCAGCTGCAACCCGGTTCCAATGAGAAGCGTCACTGCTCACGATGCAGGAGTGTATAATTAGTCGACTCTCGAGTGAACAATCTGCCAGCTTTGTGCTGAGTAGGGGATCCCTGTTGCTACTCGCAGAGGCACTGAGTGGGTTCCAGCGTCCTTGCATCACTCATTTAAATGGGACATTTACAACTTAAATTTTAGAGCCACTTCTCTGTTATGAGACTATTTCACATCTTACACTCCACAATAATCATTTCTGGCAGCATTCATTGTATCCAGCCATAGCAGCACAGTGTTTAACTGCTTATTATAGCGATATAATGATGTGCTTCCCACAGCGATTCCTCTTCTTTTCTGTGTATTTTAGTAACATTTTCAGCAGAATTGAAATTCAGTAACGCTTTTCTCTCCCTTTTCCTGTCCAGGGTCTGAGTATGTAGTGGCTGGTCATGAAGACTGGAGGACTGGCCGACTTATGGTCAACACCAAGAGCCTTGTTAAACCGTGGAAGTCGAGCCTGGGACGTAAACTCCTGCACATCCTTAGAAAAGACTGCGGCCGCTGGTAGGGAATCGCTAAGAACTGCAAAGGAGAGATGGATGTAGCACTGGTGGATCATCTGATGACGTGTCCGATGAGTGAAAAAGTGGTCAAACAGTTGTCGGAGAGACTCTTGGACGTTGCTTGGACACTAAAGCAAAAACAGACAATTTCTTGTGTTCCCAAAAAGCAGCCTGTGGCCCCCAGAAATGCTACAGGACTGTGGATGATGTGAACTGGTGGTAGAAATAAGCACATACAGCGAAACAGATACCTCGCCAGACTACAGTCACTGATCAAAGAGAACAAAGCAAGCCGTGAAGACTTTTATCCAGACAAAGCTGATGTTGGAACTTTTATTCCTGTGTCGGTATGCCTCAGCTCCTAAGTCCTTCCAATTATTTATAAAGCAGTAAGGAGTGCATATTAAATCCTCAATTATACTTTAGTTCCTGTCCAAAGTTGCTGTCAGAGTTGATGAGCCAAAGCACTGTCACGTCCTGCTCCATCTATTTCACTGAGAACTATTTACTTTGGAATGTTGCAAAGGCGCAGACTGAATTATCCTTGTCGTCTCACAGATATTGGCGATAAATCATGAATGAGTCAACATCAGAATGAGCGTGTGTGTGGGTGTGTGTGTGTGTGTGTGAGTGTGTACATATGCTTGGTGTCCTTGGCGGGGAGTCTGGGACTGTGCAGGTCAGAACAAGTAACTCCTGGATGAGGAGAGAGGATGAAAAAAACATTAAAGGAATCAGGCGGCTTAATCTGAACAGCTCTGCTTTGCTCTGGCACACTCGCCCGCCTGCTGTCTGACAAGAGCAAAACACTCTCCGCTCCACCCTCCCCCCCGGTCTGCAGGACGCACAACTGGCTAAAACTCTTGGGATTGAGTTCGCTCTTACAGCTAGTTCAGTTACGAAGGTGAAACGTCGGGCTGCGTGAGGATTTTTGCTGTCCTCAAAAGACCCGCTTCCATATGAGGAGGATCCGCTGGAGAAGGCCTCTCTGATCCCAACCCCGTAGGGAGCCGGCGTGCCTTTGTGAGAAAGACTGCGCACGCTCTCTTAACATATGTTTCTCTTTTTGGCCTGTGACTCCAGCTGCCCCAAAATAAATATGTATTAAAAGCCGGGGTATTAATTGACATCACCGTGTATCAGATCCAGAGTCCACAGGCCATTTTTGAGCCAGGCCCAGTTAAGAATAGGCCTGCTGTGCTGTCTCCAAGGAGAAGGACAAACTGTGTGAGGAGACATGATGCATTCCTCAGCCATGGCATCACCACCCGTGTCCTTGTCCCAAAGACTTTACCAAAATAAGAGAAAATGGGTTGGAAATTTTCTTTTAGAGGACAAAGCGGTGATTTAGGGTGCATGAACGTACTCTGCCATCAATGTGATATTTGTAATGCTATTTCTGTGTGTCCTGTTTGCTCTTTTTTCATCTAAAACTGCATAAACTACACATTAGTGTGCTCGTTTTTAATGCTTCTGGGAGAACTATATTTCATTCCATGGTCACATTATGCTGAAGCACAAGGCTAAGAATAGCCTGATGTGTCTTACTGCTACATCTTCACTAGCAGAGGTGGCTGACTGATATTTAACCCATGTTTTAGTGCCGCCCTCCTTTGGTTAAAAGAGAGAAATGCACTTCTACATGGTTAACATTTTTACATGATCATGCACACTCAGTTTCTTACTTGTTAGGTCTGTCTTGCTAAAAAACAAAACAAAAAATGCAGTCCTGCAGTAAATCTTACCAAGTTTCTGTCGAAACCGTTTCAGTGACATATTGATTCCACTTTATTATCATTTTGGAGGATGTAGCCTGTGATGCTATTGAACTGTGTTAGATTACACAGAGAGGTCTTTCTCAGTTTGAAGAATTGTAGCAGTGCTATAATACAGTGAGCATTTGTTTCTAACAAGATGTAGCTAATGAACTGGCAAAAAAAAGTGTTTATCAGTGATGTGTTTGAGTATATTGAGCTGTGAGATCTACATAAATATGGACACAGCAATCAATGCAAGATTTATAACAATTTATTTCTTATAAAACCGCCTCAAATTAAAATAAAGCAAAGAAATATAGAAATATAAATATTTCAAAGCAGGTATTTTTTTTCCTCACAAGGCAATAAAGCAAAGCATGTTCAGGCGGAGTGCTCACCTAAACCTTTTTTTGCACGATTATTTTGCATAAATCTCTTTTGCATATTTCCTAAAAGCAGCACATCAAAGTATGACTAATATGACAATACTACATGTTTTTTTTAAAGATATGCCCTTTGTCTATTGGCTTGATCCTTTGGGGAAACAAAAACGCTAGTAAGCTACCACCATGACACGAGTCTTTTGCATTGCTAAAACAATTACCTAAAGGTGCGGAAGCAGTGGAAATTTAGTTTAGAGAAATATTGCATAATTGCTGTCAGTCTGAAGAGGTTTGTTGTCTCTGAGCTGTCGCATGCTCCTGGTTCGCCTTGAATGTTGGCGCATGCTTTAGTAGTCGTCTCCCCGGCTCACTACCTCCTTGCAGGTGGGCCTGAGTAGGATGGTGTGCTCATACTGGGCGGTGTAGCTGCCCTTGATGTCGCAGAGAGGTGGGTACGGGTCTATGATGCCAAGGTCACACAGATTCTTCAATGCCATCAGGTACTTGCTCTCACCCAGGCGGTCCAGCCAGCGGCGGCAGAATGCCAGTGTACCAAAGTTCTCATTGATCACATTCAGCAGATGTTTAGCCCTTGGAAGTCTGCAGCACAGGAAAAACGTGACAACACATGAGTGAACAGGGAGACACACACGACAAACTTGGAGGTCGAACCTATATGTGAACTGACGTGGAGATGCGAAGCTCTGTTCTGTGTTGTCAGAATGATGGCTGGAAGACAACATATGAGCAGATCGATCGATAAATAATTTTGAGTGCAGGGATGAGATGAAAACAGCAACCTTATTGGCACGTGTCCAACGTTGAAGTTTTTCATGTAATGCGAGCACTCCATGTCATCGTGGACTGCACCTCTTCCAGTGCTGCCAAATGTCTCGATGGCGTAAGCTTCACCTTCCTACCAAAAAAAAAAAAAGACCAAGACAAACATTTATTTGATGACATGAAATGCAGAATTGCTGTGAAAGTCTTTCATTGCAGGGCAGGACTGACTGTACCAAAAGGACGAAAACGCTAACAAAAACCTCAAGTTGTCAGCTGCTGACATATTCATGTACAGTCTATTAAGGACACCAGTGTCCTTTGTGGAGCAGCACCTCGTGTGAGTTGATTGGCTGGGTTTCATTGGCATTTTGTGTCTCTATCAGCACGTCGTTGTTGTCGGAGTCCCTGTGGTATTAGCTGATAACACTGCGACGCCCTCTCTCACTGCACCGATAATCAGTCAAAGTGCTAGCAGCCCCGTGGCACGCCCAGCTGCCACTCCAGCCGTGCACTCTCTGATCACAAAGAGGGTAATGGCCCTGTTACACCAACACACACTTCAGCTAAAAATACAATGCGCAAAGCTGCCACATCAGCATCAGCATCCCTCCCCCCCCTCCTTTCCAACACCAACCCCCCCTGGAACTATCAGGTAAAAAGCTTGACGCAGCAACTTGCCAATTAAAATGCTCAGTTCTGTCCAAATAAAGCCATGTACTGCAGCTGTGCCGGCGTAAGGGCAGCCGTGGATCGCTGGCGTTCAGTTTCGGGATATGCAGGATAGTGCAAAGCCGTGTCTCTCCTCAACGAAACCGTCGGCCTGATAATGAACCCTGGATGCCCACAATTCAGTGCTCATACGGCGAATGAGGAGTTTTAACACATGTTGCTACTCGATGCGGCTGGTAATTCCATTAAAGGTGTAATTAAAGTCCTGACGAGGGTGACTAAGAAGCTGTTAAAGCAGTGAATTGGAACACTTCTCCACACCCCACCGTAATCCTAACCAGCCACGTGCTCTTCCAATTACACTTAAGAATTAAAAAGGGTTTATTTATACGCGAGGTCAAACACCCAAGAAAGGTTTCATTTCAGACGCTCCAGCGAAAACGGGGTGCAGATTTGCTTTCGCGCTACAGAATCTACTCACATTTGCCTCAGATGAAGTAACATTAGAAACTGAGTCGAGTAAACCGCACACACCTCCATCCTTGTGGCCTCTCCGCCTTTTACAATAGGGACTGTCTTCCCTGAGTGTATCCTGTACGGTCCAATAGAGTGGCCATTGAGATTCCTGATTGGCTTCACTGTAAAGAGAACACCACAAAGAGGGTTCATACATATTAAACAGTTGCTGAGCCTGCGCGCGTAGAAAAAGGTGAAGAATGACCTCCTTTTACCTTGATATGTTTTCCCATCTATCTCCACTTCATAAGACTCCATGACCTCCTGAATGGTCTCGCCAACATCACAGAGACGCACATCAATTCCAGCAAACTGGGACAGAGGGGAGTTTAGACTCACATCAGTAAATAACTCTACACACGGTAAGAAATATGTGCCACCTCCTTTTGTAATTTGTCTTGTTTAAAAGCGGCGCTGGAACACGTTACGGTAAAGTACACAAACTGACTGCAGCGAAAAACAATGAATAGCAGCTCCTGGATCATTCTAAATCATTGACTATGGAACAGATATCATCCTGCATACTGACAGCTTTAATGAATCAGGTACTAAGAAGCACAAACAAAAAAAATATCAAATCAAGATGAAGTCAATATTCAATGCAGCTTATTTGACTCACAGTGTATCTACACATAGCTACAGTTAGAATGTGTTGTATAATAAACCTCATGTTTTCATTCAAATCATCTCTGTGCTGTGTTTGTGCAATAACTTCTCTCATTGTGTTTTGCACTGAACGACTCCCTTCTTTTTTCCCCAAGTATAAGTTATCTGTATGATATCTATTATTTACACGATGCATCTGTTCTTACTTTTGCTGCAGTGACGCCTCAAAGCTCCCAAGTGGAAGCAAAAGTTTATTGTATCATATCTTAAGTAGCTCATCTCATTTGCACATCAGTGTGTCCACTCCAGTTGTGTGTGATGTTAGTAGGAGCTGATGTGTACTTTATAATGGCCTTAACGTGCAATGTTTGTGGCACGCCAAGTTAGATTTGTCCAGTTTTTACTCTGAATAAGAGCCAAAGATTTCAGTCCTCATGGTTATTTTAGAGGTTTAACCATAATACATAGAAATGTAAATATGAATATTAAAGGTGCTATGATTCTGATTACTTTCATTTCTTGACATTTTTTGTGTATTTTAAAGCAAAGAAGCTCCATGCATGGAAGAAAGGGCTGCCTTACCCTGATGCCAGTGTCGGTCGCATCCTTCACAGCCTCCAGCAGTCTGTCATACTTTGGATTGAAAGTGACGGTGAAGGCACAGTCTATTATTCGACCTGAAAGACCAAACAGTTTGGTTATTCAGAGCTGCGAGGTGATCATTTTTGCAGAAATGTTCGGCGTGTATTAATCCAGAAAAAGAGGGAGTTAATTAACTTATGAGAACAGTTTATTCCAGGCGCAAGGAATTATAATGCAATCATCATTTTACCGTGTCAAATGTGTAATGGGACAGCGTAACTCCAAAAGCACTTAAAAAGTTATTAGCGAGCTTTCACCGTTGATGTGCGTTCCAAAGTCAATTTTGCAGACATCGTCGTAGCGCAGTACGGTCGGGTCTCCTGCGTTCGGGGTGTAGTGGGCAGCACAGTGGTTGATGGAGCAGCCGGTGGGGAAGGCCAGACCTGCCTTAAGCCCGTTTTCTTTGATGAGCCTCCTGGAGCAGTCCTCCAGCTTCTCACTGGCAGAAACAGAGAGCAGCACAAAGGGACAACGAGAACAATGAGACTGTTGTTGGAGCAGATAAAACATCCAGAGGACACTGAAACCACAATGCAGCTCTTTTCCCTCTCTCGTCATTGTAAAGTTCTTTCATGTAGGACACGACAAAGAAAATATTAATATCTGTCCATAATCAGCTTGAGCAGCCGAGACTAAAAGAAACATTTCAGCGTTGTTTCTCACCAGATGTCAATCATAGTCATTCCTGGTTTGATCCAGCTCTTGACATAAGAGCGGACCTGCCGGTGGGCCTCGGCTGCCTGCCTGAAATCGCTCCACATCTCCTCGTTGGCCCTGTCGAGCGCCCGCTTCTCCTCGCTGGTGGTCCGCCACGCTGCGCTGCGCCTGGGGGTGGGTGGGTGCACGGGCACACCACAGAGAGGCGGCACTCATTATTTTCTCATTACACAAATATTTGTAATGAGGATGTGACGCACTCTTGCAGGCAAACCGCACAGGTGAAAGCAGTGTTGATATTTTTAACCGAGGCTAAATTCATTTATTTTCTCCCCCCAACAGGAAATTAAACCTCACACTAAACGTTGCACCTCATTATGTTATATCATGTCCGAGATGAATGTGTGCAAAGAGCAGGGACCTAAAAAAAAAAAACTAGGCATGTCACACAGTGGAAGACTGCTGTACGAGTGTGAGGGACAGCGTGGAGGTCACACACCCGTCTTTTGATGGGGGATATTCACACTCCTCTCCCTTTGGAAAGTCTCCGTTGGGATAGAGCTCACAAATAGGGACTGAGGGAGGGTCAGTCTGTCCCTTCACTGTGGCCCAGATAGAGAAAAGGAGAAGCAGAGGAAAGCAGCAGGAGAGAGGAAAGAAAACACGAGTTATCCCCGCTGTGTTCTTGACATTGATATTTTAACTTAGCTAGAATACAGCACAATTCCTGACTTACAGAGAGAGTAAAAGAAACATATAACCAGAAACATCTTTGATCATGTCAAAGCAGAGGGGTTATCATGACACACGTGTGGCACAATTTTTAGGATCACTTTCACCACATTGGTGTGTGGAACAGGAGGTCGTAAATTTTTGTCCTGTACAACACGCAATTTTGTCCTACATCTCCTGGGTCAGCTCCACATTGTGTAACTCTAATGACGTGAATTAATCAAGTCAAACTGCTTGTGTGTTCTGTTTGTATTTATCTGATTTGTCCTTTTAAGGCAGTCAGTTCAACGTGTAGATTCACATCCAAATTCAAGTTTTTGCTTCAGGTTTCCTTCAGAGCTTTATTATCTGTATTCGTCATGGATAATATGATGATAAATATGCTTGCTTTGTTGTAAATTGCACTCTCAGTTCAAATTCTGTGTTGAGTAAAATTAATATAAACAGCTACAAAACACCCTCTTACTGACTGTTGAGATGCATTTTGCTGCACTAAGAAAAAATAAATAACAACTTACATCCTTTCTTCTTCTTTTTCTTCTTCTTCTTTTTTCCAGCTGAGTTCTCTCCTTCATCCCCATCTGTTGAAAGCATCATTAGTTTCAATACAGTTTGTAAAGTGAGAAATATCGACAGGAGCTTGGGCACAATTCCCAGGGTGCTCCTGAAAATCAAATATAACATTGCAGATATGAGCAGCTGAATTTCACAGTGCACTTTCAGGGACTTCAAGTCCCGCACCACCACCGCTGCAGATGATGATGATGATGATGATGATGACGATGGTGATGGTGGTGGTGGTTGTGATAAGGAGATACCTTCTTCTCCATCCTCAACCCTCTCTTTGTCCTCCAGTGTTTGCTGCTCCAACTGTTTTGTCACATCACCAACACCTCCGGTTTCTCCGTCCCCCTCAGCCTCATTTGTCCCTGCTGCAAAGTCACACACAGTCGTGCATGCATGTGCAGGTAGACATGCACGTGTGTGCCAGTGACGTGCACACACACACACACACACACACACACACACACACACACACACACACAAAGAGTGAGTAAATTATTTGTGGCTCAGAGTCATTTCAAGAAAGTGCCTCCACTACGATCTGAACTTGGCAGGGTCTGTGAATAATTTCTTTCTATACCTTGGGAGTCAATATTCTCAAGGGCATATGTACCTTGCAGCATTATGACATTTAGCCCTTCACAGACAGAGATGTGTGGACCACACTTGACTTGGGGCAGGTTCAACAACTCAAGCTTTGAGAGATTTTACATTTGAACATTAAGAGGCAGCAATGCTGCAATTATCAGCATGGCTTTTTGCATAAGAGTGGCTGTCATCTTACTGCACTAAAACTGTGGATACTTCTATTACATAATTTCATGCAGCTTAGAGGGATTTATAGGATAGAACATATTTAATCTGGAGTAAAATTACATTTTATTCCACCCTTATTTTCAAATGACAGCTTTCAATCAGTTTTGACGCTACATTTCATTTTTCAGAGATCGTCCCGTTTCCAGATGAGCGCCTGCAGCTCCGGCAGGAGCCGCTCAGAGTTGGGACGGCTGGACAGGAAAACCCTCTGACAGGTTGGAAAGTCTCCTGTCCCGCATATTTGTTGCTCGTCTACTATATCGAGTGGCAATAAACGGGGCAATTTTGCGCTATTTTCTCAAGGATTCTCTCACCGCAAAGTGATGCCGCTTACCTGCTGCGGTGGTCTTATTCCTCTTCTTCTTTCTTCTTTTTTTCTTTGCTGATTCTGAGGCGTCTGCATCTTCTCTCTCCTCGTTCAAGTCGTCCCCGTTGAGAAGTTGAGGCTCCACTTCATGCTGTAGCTGTAGCTCCGCCATGATCAGCGACTGAGAGATGAAGTGACGCATAAGCTGCTGGGAGCCTCCAGTGGTCAAAGCAGAAAAGTGTGCTGGAGGCAGCTGAGCCAATAATGAGCTATTAGACAATCTGTGTGCAACAACTTGACCCGAATAGAGGAAGACGATCCTCCTCTGTCCCAAGGAGCAAATAAAAAAGAAAAAAACAACAACTTTCATTTATCATCAGATTTCTCAGCAATGAAAATTACATTTTGGGACACACTGCAACACAATCCCAGTGAAAAATGCTTACATGTGACCACCGTGTCCTGATGTGTGGCCTTTAAAAGCTGCACTGCGCTCTGGACTCATCACTTTCTCTGAACATCCCGCCGCTCAGGCTCAGGTTACCTGGCAGCGCGCACCTGACTGCAGCTCCTCACTCACAACTCTTTGCCACTTCCTCTGTGTGTCCACACTGCCAAAGCAGTCGACACCTTATCTGTCATTGTGAGTTTTGTTTGTTTGTAACAGCGTTTCAGTTTTTTTTTCCCCAAATCGACGTCAGTGGCGCGAATATTTGGACACGAGCGCAGAAGTGCGTATCCAAGCAACCAGCCGAGCACAGTGAGGGACGCAGGTGAAAGGTGAAGTTTGAAGCACTTCAGGTCGGTTGTGTTGCGATTTATTTACTGCAAATGTGAGTTTAACGACGCCCTTAAACAAAGGAGTGTGGACTTTTTCTCAGGAAACAGTCAAATGACTTCAGATCTAAGAAGTGGCCCTTTGTATTTCTTTGACCAGGTGGGTTAAAGGTTCAGTTTGCTGACTGTGGTTTAGAGAAAAGCAACCATTAATTTACTATGTATGTGCCCTTCTGCAGCCATCAAATCGAATTAAGGGGACGCGAAGCAACATTTTACATTTTAATATGGCACAGAGAGGACCTCCGTTGGAAAGGTAACTCCTGCCTTGTTTACGGTTTGGTTTCTGGCGCATGTTTCCAACACAGTGTCTCGTTTTCTCTCAGTAATCGTGAAGAGGACGTCAAAGAAGGTAAAAGCGAAGAGCTCGACAAAGACAGCCCGTCAGGTGAAGCGTGTGAGGACGGAGAACCTGATCCCTCATCTGCTGCACTGCGCGTAAAAGACGCCGAAGCGAAGGACGCATACAAGCGAGCAGCCCCTCGGTTATTAAACGAACTAGCCCGCCTACTTTCACAACATAAGTGGTCCGAGGAGGGCTGCATTCCTCGGGGGGTTGTAAATATCCTGAATTACTCCTGGCACGATCTGACTGCGGGGGCGGTGCACTTGAGAAGTCCGAAGCTGACTGACAAACGACGCGAGTCCAAAGGTTCCCCGAAGCTGGACCAAACTCTCCTCCAGGTGTCTGCCGGCGCCAGGGAGGAGGCAGGACAGAGGGACGGCTGTGTTGCGGGAAATGATGGCTCCTCCGACAGAGAAGCACAAGTTAGGTCAAAGCCACACGTGAAAAAGCGCAAACACAACTCCAGTAGAGGTAAATGTAGTCCGAGATCACATCTGTATGGAAGACCATGCGTGCCAGGAAATGAAAACCATTAGATGACAAGTTAAATGACCTAAAACACTCACGGTTTGTCAAAAGTATAGAGTCAGATTTATGATATGCTGCTACCTCTCCAAAAACTATAAAATCTGTCTGACACTTCTTTTAATGTGTATATTTTCAAAATCAATATAACATATACACAAGAAGAATACCTAAGTGAGTAAATAAATCATAATGGACTGTAACTTAGTTATTGTGAAACTCAGTGTAAGTCTTGAAAAAGGACATCTTGCCTCATGAACCCAAGATGTCCCATCCCTGCCCGCGGGCAATCTAACCTTAAGAGATATTTTGATCAATATGAACTTATGCACAAGATCAATTATTATTCTCAAATGTTGTTCTGCCTCTGCATGCTAATAATAATTTTGGATTGTTTCTAATCAAGTTTGATTATTGCAGATTACCTTAAAGTTGAAGGGTCCAGGACAAATCACATTTAGAGACATTATAACGTTCCTGTATTTTTATTATCACATTTATTATTTATTTCATGCTGGAATTATTTAAATTACTGACAGAAAAGGAATGTCACATTTTCTTGTTCTACAACAAGCTAATCTCGCATAACATTATTTGCTTCACATAAAGTCAGCTATTTAGCCTTTTAAACACATAATAATACACCTGCTTTTCTTTTTTTTCTTTTTTTTGCACTGCTGGTTAGCGATTATGTTACCACATTAGATGATAGTCTTCTGATTATTTATCTGAAATCTAACATTATTAACAAGATGGAGGCATCCTCTCTCAAAATTTTACATAGTACAGGACATGTAATAGGTATTTGTTGTTCAAACTACTGGAATGAAACTTCATATGATTCCTTTGTTAACAGTAAAAAAAAAAAAAAAAAAAAAAAAGTTTGTATATGTATATCTGGACAAAAAGATTAGTAAGGCTACTATCATCCCCCCAAAAAAGATCTGAAATAAAAACAGACTGTATTTAGTGTTCAATGGGGAAATCAAGATGAAGATTAATCTTACCCAGATTTTCTCTATTCATTAAATCTTAAGTTACTAAATCAAAGAACAACCTTTGCATAACTTGTCTATATATTTTTCATATAGTTCACAGTATTTTGTATGGATAAAAGTTCTACATTTTTCATCAGTTATTTTTTTAAAATTTCAAACGTAACTTGCCATTTTCATATATATGTTGTCAATAATGTTATGGATGATTAAGATATCCTTTATTAATGTATGAATAATTAGCCAATAATAAGAACAACTCAACTAAGAACAACCCAATTCGTCGGATTTTAACTCTCTTCATCCAAATGCTTGCTTTGTCTTTCAAGTTTCCGTGTAAGTAATTGTTAAAACCTCCATCAGTAGATGTTTTGACCTCGTACTTTCTCAAAATGGGATGCAGCTTCTGCAGCATAAATCATATTGTTTTGTTGCCAACTGCAGGCTTTATAGAAAATGATAAAACCACACATGGGCAACTTGATTACTGGAAACCAAGCGAGTCACTGAAAAAGTACCACAAGTTTCACACTTTTGAAGTGATCAGCTGTATTAATATATAATCTAATAATATGTAATATTAATGAAGACTTGGATCATGTTTAACTGTACAATTACTCACAACACAAAATGCTAATCAGCTATGCATTAATAGAAAATTCTGGTGCAATACAGGTGTAATTGCTCGTCTATGTGCCAAAGTTACAGCAGGTAAGAGACAATATCCATCATGTGAGTGAGGATGAAAACCCATCAGGAAATTTCTTATGACCTTTAAAGACGGAACTTGAGGGTAGATTTGGTTGCAAGCTTGTGGAAGTGAGAGGATTGGTTTTCCAGGTCGAATAAGGAAGTGGGGCACAGAGTTACTACGGTCTGTTAGTGGGCGGCAGAGCTATTGAGTTGCACTGTTGAGTTCACCGTATATGTAGCCCGTATTCTCCAGTCTCCAGATTCATTAAAACAATGAATGCAGTACCTCAGGTGACATAATGAATAAGTTCCATATTCTTGCTCCCCAACAGCTCACAGCTCCACAACTTGTACTTTCTCCCTGTCGTCTGGCAGCTGTGAGGATCAAGGTATGACACGGAGCTGCAGCATTGTGTTAATGACTCGCTCTCAGCGCTGTGTCTCTGCTGCCTCAGCTGGATGTGATTTGTGTCCAGGTTGGGTCCTTCAGCTAAAGCAGCCCTCCTACGATGAGCCTCAGCAGATCGGCTTGTGTCAGTGGGTGGTGGAGCGACTGCAGGCAGCAAGAAATCCTGGGTGTGTTATTAACCTCTGCCTCTGTATTTATGCACAGCTGTGTGTCAAATGAGGGGCTACGTTTTAAAATCTCATATCCGACAATCACATTCTTCCCGGGTCAGTCAGATGTGACGCCGCTTCGGTTAGGATTGAACTCTCTCAACAACTATTTGGTGGAATCGGTACAGAAGTTTGCACCATTATTTACCTGAGTGTAGGTTTCATTTAAATATCAAGGGGATACATTAAGTAGGGGGGTCTGAGGATCCTCCGCAAGGAGAACACTTGATTTGCTGGACAATGGTGAATTTGAATGCACCAATTTGTGCCTTTTCTGCATCAAACGTAGTGGAAATGTCTTTATTTACGTAAAGGAAAACAGAAAATTCAGGTGCCAATTCAAAATACAATGGAAGATATATGGATCTAATTGTGTTTTCCACAAGAGTCAGTGATTGTATGAGCTCATAATTCTTATTTTGGGAGTAAAACATGCCTCAGTGCTGTAGCAATCTGTGCCTATGATTAATTATGAGTGGCTGACATTGAATTCTAACGATTTTGAGGTGGACATTGACTGAAATTTCTCAATAACTGATACTGTATTCAACATTTGGCCATTAGAGCCTAAAAGCTTATAGTACATGTTACATTTGTCACGTATTTATTCAAAAATGCTAACTCTAATTCAAAAGCTTGACTGAGTCCATTTTACTACACAAGTGACTATTTCTTCACACAGAATGCTGCCCACAACCGAGAAGGCCCCGAACATACCGCTCATACGCCGTCACTATGGTGATGTAAATGCTAAACTGAAAGACAGGAGAAGGAAGGCCCAATCCTCCACTTTAGTTAACGGGATGCCCCGGATACCAGAAGTGAGGGAGGAGGATCCAGTCCAGCAGAAGCTGCACTACAGGATCAATGACGGCTCCTCGTTCATATAGTATCCTTCCCTCATCATGTTTATTCAAAGATATTCAAATTTTAGTGCTTGTCTAAAGAAAGCACTGACATATGGGTGCAGCTGACCTTTGACCTTTGCCCTCTCAGTTACCCGTCCGGTTGCGTGGCAGTATGCCAGAGTCGCTCGGGTCGGCCCTGCGGAGGCTTCTACACCAACGTGTTCAGTGACGCAGAGTTTCCCGTCATCCTGGCGACCATCACAGCGTTTGGGCACGGGACTGTTACACATCCTCTGAGGTGAGTTCAGTGCTGACATGTGAGGTTGTGAATATGAAAACGCA